TTTCATCAAGATGTGAACTTCTCACATGAATTCCCTTTGCTCTGTCACAGTTCTCTGGGAATGGAGGACGCATCTTGGGGCTTCCTCACTCAACCAAGGTTTATGGAAAGTAGCAAAGGTTACCTCTGGGACTAGGGAACCCAAAGATGGTCAGGACACAAAGGCTCCATGTAGAAAAGCGTGCTATTGAACGGAGAGGATACTTCTGCAGGAATTCCCGTGATACGAAAACAAAGTAATCCTACACGAGGGCCCTAGCAACCCACCAGCGGAGTCATTTTTAGTCAGAGACGTTTCTGCTAAGGCATTGGCAGGATTTTGAAAGAGAACGTGGGCTTTGGGAGGCGTGTGTGAGAAGACAGACACAGTAAGATTCGAAGTCCGTTCAGAACATTTCAGGTGAACAAGAGAGGCAATGGCTTGAACACACATACTCCAGACACATGACAGCACTTATTATGAAGATCCGGCTCGCGCAAAGTCCTGCTGCGTGCCATCTGCAGGCTAGAGGCCCAGAGAAGTCAAGGTGAAAATTCCAAAGAAACAGAGAAGACTGATGCGGCCCAACCTGAGGCAGCAGGAGGTTGGTAGACTCTCATGCCAAGAAGCCAGGATTCTTCACTTTGCTATTCTATGCAAGCCTCCCGTAAGGTGGATGGGGCTCACCCACATGGAACGGGCTGTCTGCTTTACGTAATTCACCAATCCAAATGCTAATCTCATCCATGAACACCCTCTCGGGCATGCCCAGAAACGGTTAGTTAGTGTCACATTGACAAAGTTAACGTCCCAAAGTTGCATAGTGTTTATCAAAGTAAGTGGCTTGGTTCTCATGCCAGAGAAAGAGTAAAAAACACGGGGCTGGAGAAGAGAGGTTAGAGGACCGTGGATGCCAGATTTGCCGGGTCAAAGGCTGGGAACTGGCTCCATCGTTTGTAGGCCATTGTAGCAAAACCAAACAGACACGTAACAGGCTCTGGCCAATCTAAAGGAGGCTGCCGCGGTGCCCCAGGCTTGAGCCGACTCCCAGAATCTGCGGCCAAACCAGGCTGAGGAGGGAGGTACAAACTCTACACGTGGGCTGCTGGGCTGTGGGTAACAGGCCAACACATGATGGTCGCTCGGGGTGACACATGAGGTGACAGGTAAATGTAAGATGGTTTATTAAATCAGGCCTGATGTCCATTCGCATCTTTCTGCTCAGTGTTTCAAGTCGTGCTGTTTCCCCCCACCCCCGCTCCAAGGAGAGCTTTGGGAGCTGGAGAACGAGAGCGAGAGCCAGATAGACTCCCTGTTCCCATGAGGCTTATCTTCCAGTGGAGACCGATGTATAATAAACAAGAAAGCAAAGAAATAGACGAGTGGAAGATAATTTCTAATTATACCTAGTTCAGATAAAACCGAACAAATTATATCTAGCTCTTCCCTCTTAAAGAGAAATGACAAGGGGGAGCTATGGGCTGCAGGGTGAACCCAGACCGGGCAACACAGACTGACTCCAACCTGTAAGACAGGCTGGCCAAGCAGATACGGGACTGCAGTGTCTTCTGAGGAGATCAAGTTCTCACAGGAAACTGGGTGGGAAGGATTTTGTTTTGTTTGTTTTCTCTTGGGGGGGAGTCTGTTGTTATATCCCCCCTTTCATTTCTGATTCTGTTAATTTGGATGTTCTGTCTGTTTTAGTTTGCACAAGGGTTTGTCTATCTTGTTGATTTTCTCAAAGGAGCAGCTCTGTTTCGTCGATTCTTTATAATAGTTCTCCTTTGTTTCTATTTTACTGATTTCAGCTCTCAGTTTAGTTATTTCCTGTCATCTGCTCCTCTTGGGTGTGCTTACTTCATTTTGTTCTAGAACTTTCAGGTGTGCTGTTGGGTTTCTAGTATGAGATCTCTCCATTTTCTTTTTTAATGTGAGCACTTAGTTTGGGTATGTTATGTATTCGTTTCATTCAATTCTACAAAGTCTTTAATTTCTTTATGTTTTTCATTGACCTAGTTTTCATTCAGTAGAGAGTTGCTCAGTTTCCATGAGTCTGTAGGCTTTCTGCTGTTCCTGTTCCTGTTGGAATCAGCTTTAATCCCTTGGTGGTCTAATGAGATGAAGGGGGTTATTTGAGTTGTCTTGTATCTGTTGAGACTTGCCTTGTTGACCGAGCATGTGGTCAATTTTGGAGAAAGTTACTAGAGGTGCTGAGAAGAAGGTGTGGGCACCAAGAACATGAGAGAGGTCCTCAGGCAGGTGGCCTACTTGAAGTTCTCTGGGTTTTATCTCTATGGAGTTTTCTAAACACCCCCAGTTACCTTAGGAGACATAAGCAAACAACATGGTCTGGAAATGAGAACGGAGCAGAGTTGTCTGCTGACCTCAGGAGCTTAGGTGGACTGGTAATTTCCAGTCCATCACTTCCCAAGACATCACTGAGAAACCAGGAAGGAGGCCCTCTTGAGAAGGAGGTCACACTAGAGCTGTGCCTCACATCAAACACAAATCCAAGCTTCAGTTGGGTCGAGACTGACCCGAAAGACAACTCATCCTACAGAACGTCTCTGGATTTGGGGGATGAGAAAACCCCTTTGAAGACAAAACACCCAAAGGCATAAAGAAAGTGACCGACAAGTTGTAGGAATTTCAAAAACTCTTTTAATAAAGACAGTCACCCAGTGGAGAATACTCTTGTGTCGTGCAGAGAGATCAATGAGGAATGTGCGGCTGAAAAGCCAATCTAGAGATAAATGACAGAAGCATAGTTTACAGAGCAGGGATGGTCAATACTGGCGTTAAGAAATGCTAATCCTGACAAATGTCCACAGAAGAAAATCCATTCTTCTATTAATAGTAGGACGCATTCAAAGATAATTATTTTTAACTGCTTGCTGGTGAACGGGTTTGTTTTCTTAATTTTTAATAATGTATTTCATTTAAAGCAACAGACCCAAAATACTATTTTAATGCATAGTTAGTCTTAAAATTGTGAATGTGGTATCACGTTTTCCCTACTGGGATTTTGCATGAACAGAGCTGTGGAGGCCACAGAGAGGGCTTAAAGGAAGCCAATTCTGCCAGTATCTTGATTTGAACTTCCAGCTTCCAGAAGTAGGAGAAAATAAATTCCTTTTTCTTAAGCCAAGGATCCCACCCCCATCACCCCCCACCTCCCCCACCCCCGCTGCCACGATGTTTTGTTACAGCAGCCAGAGCTGATAAATACACTGCTCACAGGCCTTGCTGAGTGCCATCCCCAACCCTGACCCTTTGGCGTCTCTCTTCTGTGACTTACATCTCCAGAAGTCAGTATGGATGGCAGATGCTGTAACTTTCCTTTGGGTCAGGCAGTAGGTCTCAATACCCAAAGAGATTTCCATGTGCCTCAGTTGCTTTTCCAGATTGCTAGGGCAATTACAAACATAATTAAGGAGGAAGGGTTGTAGTCCATGACGAGCAGAAATCTGAGGCAGCCATTCTCACCGCACCTGCAATCAGGAAGCAGTGAGCGTTCGGGTGCAGTTTAGGGTCCAGGCCTAGGGGATGGTGCCGCCCACTGTAGGGTGGGATCTTCCCACACAAGCTAATGTAATCAATGGAATCCCTCACCGGCATGCCCTGGGAGGCTCACCAATTCCTCCTTGGTTTGCCTGGAGGTTTCTCTCACGGCTGATTCCAGATTCTGTCAAGTTGGCGCGAACCATCCCAGCCTCTAACTGCATGTCTGCTCAGGCCTTCTGGACCCGGAACTCCTGGAAGCTTGGTAACGCTGACAAGGGGGGCAAATGGAGGGTGAGATTCCCGCAGCTGCTTGGAGTCAGTCCACTGCTGCAGAGACTGGGAAAGAGAATCGCATGGACATCCCAGCTCGGAAGTTTGTTCCTGCTTGAAATTCGCACTTACTTCTGTGGGGTCAGAAACGAGAGAGGGGTGGAAAACACCGTTAGCATCATGTACTGCCTACCCCTACCCTTCACCTTTCTGTGAGTACAGATCCTTGGATTCCTGGGAGTTACTGTTCCTTCCCTCCCTGCATGTCCATCATTCCCCCCACTAGCTAACATGTTCCTTCCTCTTCAATCTGTGTGGTCCCCTCACCTTCCCTGCAAACAGACAGAATCGTCTTTGTCAGACGTGCTCGGGAGCAGCATTATTCCGTATTTTTTAAACTTTGGAATATGTGCATATATAAAATGATACATGCTGGGGACAGGACACCCATCTAAAGGTGAGATGTATCTACGTATAAAGGTAAACTAATACCATATCTTCAGAGTCCCTACATTTTGACTGTGGCCCAGCCTGGTACATGTGTTCAGATTCTTCGGAATTTCCTACTTGAGGCATAGGGTCCGTGAGAATAAATGGAGTTTGGAAGATTTAGGCTTTCATGCTTTTGAATGAAGGCCATTTGTCCTTCTGGGTTCGGGGGTCACTGATGTAGATGAGATTGACTGATGGGTTTACAGCCCGAGCTCTGGAGATGGAGGACAGACAGACACAGTGGAAGACAAAGTACTGTGCATAAAGTGGAGAGGCAACATTGTGGCAGTACATTGGCCTGGGGGCGGCCGCGTATCTGGTGACTCTTGGTGCAGCTCCTGGCAATGCTGGGGCATAGGGCGGTGGGAAGGACCGAGCTACGCCCATATCCATCCTCTGTTAAACACCAGCTACATCACAGAGTTCTGAAATTTGGGTTCTAATTTATTACAAACACACACACACACACACACAGAGAGAGAGAGAGAGAGACGAGAGAGAGACAGAGAGAGAGAGAGACAGAGAGAGATTGAGAGAGAGAGGTTTTTTTGTTGCTTTTTTTGTTTGTTTGTTTGGTTTTGGTTTTTCGAGACAGGGTTTCTCTGTATTGTTTTGGAGGCTGTCCTGGAACTCACTCTGTAGACCAGGCTGGCCTCGAACTCACAGAGATCCACCTGCCTCTGCCTCCCAGTTAAAGGATTAAAGGTGTGCGCCACCAACACCCGGCTGAGAGAGAGAGAGTTTTATCTATAAAAGACACAGAGTGTAACCAGATCTGGTTGGGAAATGGGTACAAGCTGGCATTTCTTTCACCTATTTGAAGTGTTTTCAGTTACCATTAACCTTTCCCAGCAGGCCTTTGATGAAGCATGCCTGTCCATGAGGATACTGCCCACAAAAACAGAACCCAAGAGCTGCACATCTGACCTGATGCCCTCCTGAAGTCCCAGGCATCCAAGCACTTTTGAAAGTGAATCGGACTATCAAAGCCAGGCTCAGCCCTAAACTCAGAGTGTCCTTTCATGTGGGCCCAGCCTGGCAGGGTCCTATGGCTGAGCACAGATAGGACCCAGCCGTGCAGGCTTTGGCACATGTCCAAGTCCCCAAACTCTGGGGGTGCTCTGCACAGCCACGTGTGTGTGGTCTTCTTGGGAAGGGTACAGAGGACCTGCCTGGAGGCCATGTGGGTGGGAACCCAGAGGAGGCCCGAAGCAGCTGGCATTTTGAGACCTCCCCCACCTGTGTCTGGCAGGAGAGAGAGTTTGGCCCTCCACATCCGTGTTCACCCTCCATCTTCAGCTGGAAAAGGGGCCCGGTGGTCATCTGGTGCTTCAGGGCGCTTGCCAGGAACTGAAACGAAGCAGAAGTCCTCACAGCAAGCAAGCCATACGTTAAAGCCATTCTTTTTCACCCCAGAGAAATAGTGAGATGACTTGACATTTCACATAATTAAATTTAGAACGGCTTGCAGACTCTGTAGCCCCACCCACGTCATGGGAGGCTTCATTTAAGTGGAACACACACACCCTGACTCAGCTTCACATGCCCTGGATCTTGAGAGCACTTCCTCTTAGGCCAAAATGTAAACATCTCCAAGTGACTGATTAATACAAGGCTGAGAACAAGGTCACCTGACAGCCTAGACTCCAATGTCAGTCTTCACTGAATCCACCCACCCACCCTCACCCACTCCCTCTTCCCACACCCTTGTATGGTCCTACGGAGTAGTAGGTGGCACCTCCCTTGTATTTCCGAGTGACACAGAGTCAGAGCACACTCAGTGTCTGAGATCACCTGAGCGGGAGAATGTGAGTTGACATCATAACAGTTACTGGTAAACGCTGGAGTCATGCCCTCTTAATCCTAGTACTTCTCATTACAGCCTCATTAGTTATCTTACACCAGCGAGGGACATGAAAGCTCAAACAGAGTTATGTCACCTGTTCAAGCCCACGCACCCACCTGTCTGAATGCACACATGTGCCTTTTGACCACTGGGTATCAGTCACAAACTCTGCCTGCCACCCATGAACAGAGGGATGAGAAGGAGGTGGAGCTAACGGCTCTGATGCCACCACTAGGAGTAGTTGTCTCTGATCTCCTGTAAGGGCTGGGGAGAGGGAGAGACTGAGGGAGGTAGGAGACAACAACAGGAAATCAAATGTTGAATTTTATTTTTAAAACAGTCACCACCCATTTGCTATGAGCAGGGTGCAGTGATTCTTAAGATTCCCTTTGTAAGGAACGCTATACAGAGTGGGTGGGAATGTAAATTAGTTCATTCATTATGAAAGACACCAGGGTTTTTATTTTTTAAAACTAGCAATAAACCTACTGTATGATCTAGTAATCCCATTACTTGGCATAAATCCTCAGGAAATGAAGTTAGCATGTCAAAGAGAAATCTATACTCCTTTGCTTACCTCATCACTGTTCATAATCATCAAAATATGGAAGCAACCTAAACAGCCATCAACAGGTTTATGGGGGGGGGGAGAGAACATGGTATATAGTAGACCTGATGGAAAAGGATTCAGCCTTGAAAAAAGACCAAAACAGGAAATCACATCATCTTCAACAAGGTAGATGAATTTGGAAGACATCGTGCTAAGTGGAGCAAACCAGGCCATGTGATTGTCAACCGAATGGAAGAGCCAAAAAATTAGAAATCACAGAAGTGGAGAATAGGATGGTAGGTGCCAAGGCCTGGGACAGAGGGATTGGAGAGACATGCTGAGGAAACAGGGTGTCAGATGGATGGGAGGAACAAATTCAAGATATCACCAGTACACCGTGTGACTGTAAGATGCATTCCTGGCACCTGCTGAGAGTAGCGTTTTAATTCTCTTACCGCTAAGTAATGATGTGCTAAGTATCTCCACGGTACCATTCCACCATGCACGCCTACTTGAAACAACATGCTATGCGCGTACAGCAACTAACAACAGGTGGATGAAAGTTCCCCTTTCGGAACATTGCTGCCGACTTCAGAGGAAGGAATCTAACGAAAGAGGAGCAGGTGAGGACTCCCATAACCTAGCTGTGACAATTCCAGCCTGAAGAACCATGAGTCCTTTAAAACGTCTTCATCCTCACAGGCAGGGCTGTCTCTGCTGGACCTGATTTGACCTTCTAAGGACAGCTCTCTCCTGCCTTGCAGGATTCCTTTGACTGAGAACAGAGCCGTGGGCAGCCATGATTAATGTGTTACTTTCTCTTCCGTAGACTCAGCTGTAGACACTTGGATTTCGGTTCGCATCACAGCCCAGGCATCTAGTCTTTTCAGCCCCTGCTCGTTTTCTCCACTCCAAAGCTTAAGGGTGCATTTATTTAGCCTTTCCTGTGCTTCCTTGTGGATATTGGTTAACTCCAGTTGTGTCGAGATGTGTGACTGTCAACCTTCTGGTCCAGCTAGTTTACGTCTCATCGGTAAGTATGTCCAAGGTAATGTCATAGAGATGAGGAAGGCACAAGCATCCCACAGGAGTTGCTGAAGTTTTAGTAGATCCAGGACTAAGTAAAAACATAAATAAGAAACTAAAGGCTCGTCCCTGGGGTTGGGGCTAGATTATTACATAAAGGAACTATGTAACTAGTAACAACCTGTAACAACTAATAACTGATGCTAATGAACAGGGTTAGTTTAGCAGTACTTATGTGTCTGGTAACAATGTTTCTCCCACCCATGATACAGAACTACAAACTCTGTGCAGGTGAGAGATTCAGAACAGGCAGTGCTATAGACACCACGCTCAGACAAGACTGCGGTGCTCCAGGCCATAAGGCTGCTTTACCTTCTGATGAGAAAGACAAGGAAAAGCCAAAGGGGTGCCATCTGCCTGGCAGGATGCAGACATGTCTGAAGAAGTGAAAAAAATGAATTACATGAAGATCCCTGCGTTTTAGCCTGATCAGACTCAACAGCGTCTGTTTTAACAGCGGGTGAGACCAGGTCTGTGGTAACTGCACCGTTCTGGGATTCAGCTGAACATCCCATCTGCGTTAACCTCTGTTTCCTACAAATAAGATCTGCTCCTGCTTCCTGGGCAAATGGTTTCTGGGTCTTTAGTCGTCCCGTATTAGCCAGATGCAGAGTAGAGATCCTATCAGAAATCATTTCTCAGAGCCCCCAGAATGTGGCTGCATCTCCGAGGCTGAACTGGATCCATTCCCCCCTTAAATCACCGAGAACAGCCGTCTGGTTTACCCACCCTGCAGAATCAAATTCCTGAGCTCGGCATGAGTCCCACAGGAGGCTGGGCATTGGTGGCACACGCCTTTAATCCCAGCACTTGGGAGGCAGAGGTAGGCAGATCTCTGTGAGTTGAGGCCAGCCTGGTCTACAGAGTGAGTTCCGGGACAGCCTCCAAAACAATACAGAGAAACCCTGTCTTGAAAAAAAAAAGAGTCCCACGGGAACTGTGATGACTTCTTGCTGGTTTGCTCTCCCTTCTTTCCATGCTCCCTGGCATCCTCATTTGCTTTCTCTGCTAACACAGATCCCAGACTCGGCAGGACCCGTGCTGTGCCCGTTCCTCTCTGCTGAACTAACCCATGGGTCCCAGGGGCTGTGATGGTGTTGAGTTTCTTAAAGCAGTCACCCTGCCAAGGCATTTCAAGGAAGCCTCGGACCCATCTCTAAACACCTCCATACCTAAGCGCATCACAGCCTGCAGCTTTGTTGAGCGGGAGAATCTACACAGGTCACTTCCTCAGGCCCCTCTGTGCTTGGTGCTGTTCCAGTGATTGCATTCCAGGGTAGAGCAGGGGAGGAGACACTGTCAATGGACAAGTAAACAAAGCAAGCTGCCGTTCAAACCCAGGCGCCCTCTTTCTGCCCAATCAGCAAAGAGCAGAACCCTGGGGCATCCTGTGTCCAATGATACCAGTCCCCTTTCGTGGAGTTCTGGTTTGTGACAGACTGTTTCATAAGCTGTATCATAGTGGCCTTCATCAAATCCAATGATACTGGAACAAACCTCACCCCTGTCCAAAGATAATGAGATTCTAGAACTTCAATACTAACCACGGTCTACAGCTGTCAGGGACTGGACAATCTGACCTTGGGGCCCCGCCTTTCAACAACTGGCCTCTATTGCCCTGAGGGAGGGTACCTTGTGCTTCATTCTAGGAGCTCACAGAGCCTGGGCTGTCCCACGGGGCAAACAGAAGTGGAACCAGGCGTGGAGACAGCCCAGTTGGCTCTAAGCTCTGTATTTGATTGGGGGGTCTAGCGGCTATCATGTGTGCCTGCTGTGGGGACAGTCCTTTATTATTAGGCTGTTTAACACTCAGGACATCCATCCTTGCCGTCACAGTTGACACTGCAGGGGCGAATCTCCAAGGGGCCACACAGCTAGTGAGTAGCCGAGCCTGACTAGAAGCTGAGAGATGCTCCTCTGCCTGCCACGTTGTATTGTTGGATGGCTCACAATGAGTGCCTCTCCGTTCTCTTGGGCACACCTCCACTATGAAGGGAAATGCCCCCCTTGTAGCCCCCAGGAGCATCATATGACAGTCCCAGCCTGGGGCATATCAGCAGACGTCCAGTAGTGGCTTCCGCGGGACCCGTGCGTGAGCTTTCCTGAGAATAGCGCAATGGGCTCCGCCTCTTGACACCCTGTAGCTTTCGGTAGATGGTGTGCCTCAGGGAATGCAACCCTCCAGCAGGGTCCAAGACCAGCTCCGTGCTTCTGAGCGTAGGCAACACACTCACCGGGTTCCGTGTAAAGCCCTGTGAAGCTGGCCACACTCATGCTTTCCCGTCGCATAGGCCCACCGGAGCGAGCGTGGGAGCCTAGCTTCTTGCCCCGATTGGGGTGCATTGCATCGAGTGCTCTAGAAGCCTCGAGCTACAAATTCACTCACTTGCTGAAGTGAAGCTTATGGGTGGCTATAGTCTGTGAAATGGGTGCTTCATTTCCCCATACTAAGGTGTGAATAGCAGATCTGCCACGGATAGGAAACAGCCCTGGTGGTCCTTCTGGCGACAATGGTGTCAAGGACACCAGCTTCCCCCTAAAGCCCCTCAGGAACCCGCCAAACACAGGAGAAAGCCTTCTCACGGGGAGAGAGAGAGAGCAGGGCCTTGTAGGAGTCAGAGGAGAGGAAACAGGAAGCTGCACTCTCTCTCCATGGCCAGTGTCGAGTTGGCCGTGTCCCTCATTGGCTACTGACAAGACTTCACTGTTAACCGTGCGGTTGGGGCTAGGAACAAAATCCCATCGTGACTGACTATCCACATGGTACTGGAGAAGATCCCCCAGCTATCACCTGGCTACCAACAGTGCCTCAGGCCTGAATTGTCACAAGCCCAAATCACACAGCCACCCCACACAGGTGATAGATACACAGGCTTCTCTTTGACAAGAACGGGAGGCTCCTTGTCACGGGGTTTTCTTCAGACCTGGCATGGACACCTTGCCGAGTTCTCGGTGAGCTCCTCTATGGCAGCTGTAGTGTTTCCAGATTCACAGCTTCCCGTGGAGGGCAGGCGGCTGGGAGTGCACCCCAGTCAGGTTCAGTTCTCCAGCTATGACAGATGACCTGTTTAAAGGGCTAACATGCCCGTCAAACTCTCCACCCGGGCCCCCAACTTCCCCAGCACTAACTTTTTCCTATCTTACAAAGTCAATGCCCTGGGTCGGATCAAGACAAAGGGGGGGGGGGTTCAAGGAGAGAGCCAACCCATGGGAGCCAGGGCCATGTGAGGCTCCATTTAGCCTTATGATTTGATACTGAGATTAAAATATTGAATGCAATAAATTTAACTCTAAGTCAGACAACACCGAAAAGGAAAAAAAAAAAAAGAAGAAGAAGACATTTTTGGTCTATCCAAGCCTGGGCAGACTTCTTATTAGTCAAGAGTGTAAGCCATAAATCTCCTTGTGGATGTGAATGCAAGGCACATGACACCCCGTGCTGTCTCCTGCTTCCAGAGATGGCTGATGGATCCTCTCCCTCACATTTATTTCAGCCGTTAACATGGCATGGTAGACGCTGAACCAGACAGAAATAGAAGACAAAGCTTGGGCCTGTCAAACGGTCTTAACACAATTCCAAGAGTCCCGCCACCACGTGGACGCAGCATCGCCCAGGGACCCCGTTGGGCTGCAGATGCTGAGATGGGAACCAAAATGGAGGTGGGGAGGGGAAGGAGCCAGGATGGGCAGGCAGAGTATGGGCTAAGGGAATAGAATGGCTGCTGTGGCTTTGCAAGGGGAAGACAGTAAGATGCCTCTTCCAGGCAGGAGCTCTGGAAATCCTGGGGGGTTATAAAAAAAAAAAAAACAGGGAGAGTTTGGATTGTTCCAGCAGGCTGCTAGTGGTTCTAACAGTTGGAGCAGAGGCAATATGGCCATGACCACCCTCATCTCCACTCACCCCATGTAGTCCAGCTTGAAAACAGTTACTGATGCAGAAATGCATCCTTGTCAGCCCCCGGCCTATACACAGATGTGGTCCTGGATACCCAGGCCAGGATACCAAGCTTCAAGACTAATGGAGCTCTGGGAGGCAGACACAGTCAGAAAGTCAGGCTTGCAGGAAAACAGAGTCTCTCGCTCCTTGAACAATTGTTTTCTATTGCTGTTTACTTTTCTCCTTGAAAAGCAATCTACGGAACAGGGTGAAAACGTCTCCAAAGTCCATTGCAATCCATCTCTAGCTTAATTTCCCTCCTAATGTTTGTGTAGTTCCCAGCCGGTGCTATGCCCTCATTATCCTGCTGCTGCTGCTGCTATTCCCCTGGGGTCTGCTGCCTTGTTAGGGACTGCACTGACTCATTTAGGGGCTAGAGACAGAATGACAGAGCCAGGGTGTCGAGGGAGTGGCGCCCTGGCACCCTAGGAATGAATGCAATATGGCCTCATGTATTCTGGTCCCCAAAGTGGGCTTCCTGTAGCTCTGTGGATTTGTCACTTGGACCCCAGTTTCCATTCTACTCTGATGGTTGAATGACATGTTACACTCTGGGCAGACTTGGGGCACAGAGACCTGCTTGTCTTGTCTTCAGCTCTTGAGCCAAGACAGCTCCTTGGTTTGAACCTTAGATCGAATCATTTGCTGTATGGCCTTGGACAAGTCGTGTTAACTCTGTATACCTCAGTTTCAACATTTCGCCGTTGAAAACCAGCAGCACAGTGCCATCTTCATTAAAGAAACCAGCGGACAAAATTTCCCGGAAGGATGATGAGCACGTAGTTAGATCAGTGTTGGCTGAAATTGTTTTAGTTGTTAACAGGCACTCCCGAGGCACTCCATGATGCAGAGGCTGGGGCTGACATCCCTGGCGTGTCCAGCAGTGTATGTGGTCTGTGGCTGTCAGCTCCTGCTACCCTGGGTGCTAGCTTTGAATTTCTGCTGGGTCTGTCGGTGCCTTCATTTATTTCACAGGCTCCACCTGTACTTGGCCTAGTGACTCAGCAATTTGACTAGTTTAGGAGGAAGGCAGAAGGGTAGGAGGCCACAGAGGAAGCCGTGGCTCTTCTGACTTTGCTCAGATGGGTTTGTCCGCTGGGCCAAGACCACAGGCCTCTCAGGTGCCCCCAGTGTGCACCAACTGGACTCCCGGGCTTGTCCGGAATCCTGTGCTGCCCTTCAGAGGCTCACCCCGGTTCCAGGCCTGCTCTGTGCCATCCCAGCTCGGGAGCAGCGGGCGGTGGGGTGCCTCTACCAGCAAATCTCAGAAAGCAGGAGGGAGGCGGTTTCATAATCGGCAAACGCTGGATGCCGTCCAGGCAGGGAGAGGGAAGCTGGCCTACTTTCAAGGGCTTCAGAAAAGCAGATTCTGAGCGCCTTGCAGACCTGGGAAGAGTTGCCACCTTCAGGCCAACTGAGGATGCTCAACGAGGTACCTCCCGGACCAACTCTGTGCCCATCAGCAGACCAGGAGCCCCAAGGCCATGCTAGAGTTTGTACCTTGCTGACTGCCTAAATCTCCTAGTGAAAAGACAGATCTATCTGTCCCCACCAAGCTAAGAGGACACAGCTGTTTCTGGCAGTACCCTTTTGATTCTTTTTTTAAACTTGTTTTGTAGCATGTTTTCAGTGGCTGCTCTGCAGGATAGAAATGCCAGTCTAAGGACCCAGAAGGGGTCCGGGCTACAAATGACCCTCACAAGCCAGTACAAGGCCTGAAAAGGAGAAGGCTGGCCTCAGTCCGGAAGGATGGACAACTGGTCAGCAGCCTCTTGTCTGCCTGCCAAGTCATTCCGAGCCTTCTAGCCCCGAAGCCTTCCACCATCAAGCTGCCAGGCCCCTCGCTTGCCTGTGGTTCTCCTCAGTCTCTGGCAGTCGTATTAAGCTGGTTGTCCTGAGTCGGGGACACAGAGGAACTAGCTGTTCCTGGTAGACAAGGCTGACTCAGGTAGATCCAAGGAGTGTTTGGGTCCTGTGTAGTTACAGTTCCCTCGGGTCCCAACTTCCCAAACTCAGTGATTCAGAGCTCCCTGGAGCAGTAGAGAACGGAGCATTACAGGGCACACAGGGAAGAACGCTGAGGAGTTAGCCAGGGAGCCCAAATCGCTGATCCAAAGACTCCTCATGCTCGCATAAGGCCCAGACAAATCCCTGGCCTGGGCTCCTGCCTGTATGACCCTGGGAACACTTCAGGTAGCTCTCTCAGACAGCCTCTGCCTTCAGACTTGCTTTCCACAGAGGCAGTAGGATGTCTGGAAGTGATCCCGGAGGGGGGCAAATGTGGGAGCATCTATAAGTTCAGGGACACGTGCCTGGGAAGTTGGGTTACATGGAAGGGTCCGAGAGTGGGCAATCCTATGGACAAATGGGAGACTCCTTGGATCTCACCGGAGGCCTCTCTGTTGCTACAGCTGCTCACCTGGCAACCAGACAAAGAGAAGAGGGATGCGGTTCAAAGCTCAGCTGTGGATGCCTGGCACCTGCCTCTCAGGTGATGGAAAGTCACTGGAGAGAGGTCCGTCCACAAAAGACCCTACTTCCCTTAAGAGTGCCCACTTGACTGTGGGGTCCTGCTAAGGGAAAGAAGCACTCCAAGAGCAAGGGGTTCAGTGCCCAGGGCGCAGGCTGCAATCGATTCGAGGTGTCCACATGCCTGGGTTCCTTCCTGTCTTGGCACAGCCCCAATGAACATGCACCCCACCCTATTGATGGCCCGAGAAACTCTTGTAAATAAAACCCCCAATGTTTCTAAAAGAAATAAAAAGTTTCTCTGAAACCTAGTTCTCCCAAAATAATTTTCTTTTCCAAAACTAACATCCATCACTCCGGGTCCAAAGACGACAAAGGAAGCTTTTGGAGTATCTACAGGAAAAGGTGAATGTCATGCAATGGCCCAGGCAGAGACTGTTCCCAGCTGCCAGGCGCCTTGTACCCCATTAATACTCAAAATGTGATGCCCTCCATCAGTCACTGGGTAGCCTTATCTTATCAAGTCTTTTAATAGCAAGCGGTAGCAATCTATTAGCAATTTTTCAGAGTCTCTGTCTCCTGGCAAGATGTTTTTCCATCTCTAGAGCTGAAGTCATATTTCTTCTAGACCTGTGCCTCTGGGAGGTACCAAGTGTGGGGGTGGGGTCCCTCAGAGTGAGCTATTGGTGCCTACGATGATGGGACATAGCATTAGGAATTTACAGTGCTTTCTTCTTCTTCTTTTTCTTCTTCTTCTTTCTTTCTTTCTTTTGTTATTGTTTTGGTTTTTTTTGAGACAGTGTATCTCTGTGTAGCTTTGGATCCTCTCCTGGCACTAACTCCTTAGACCAGGCTGGCTTCGAACTCATGGAGATCCTCCTGCCTCTGCCTCCCAAATGCTGGGGTTAAAGGCGTGCGCCACCACTGGTCAGCTCGGTGTTCTCTCTGTTTTACTAAGTCTGTGGTTTCAAGTCCTCTAGTATGGAGGGAGCCCACCAAGATCAACTGGAAGACAAGGTCCTATCTGAAGCTTGCACTCAAATCTTTCCACTCCTGGGTTTGGTTTTCTCTCATTTAAGACAGAGAGCATGGGAAGAAAGGACTGCAGGTGTGTGGGTGACAGTCGCTGTCCCAGCCATGCTCAACTTAGCTCTGACAGTCCCAGCCGCAGTGTCACCCAACTGAGAAACAAGGGGAGGAACTAACCACTCCTGTGTCCCATGACCCCTTGTCCTTCCTGGAAACGAAGAAGTGTAGGGCCCTTGTGGCAACTCTGGCTCATCTCGGAGCAGCAGCCACCCCACTTGACGGCAGCACCCATGGGTGCTTGACCCAGAGAAGCTGGGCCACAGAGAAGCAGATTAAAGCCCCCCTCCCGCCGCCCCGAGGGGGGGGGACTTCTCAAACAAGGCCAACCAAAGGAACCCAAAAGACACGGCCGGCCAGGATCAACTTTCAGGACTGTGTAAATCCAGTGTTTATCCCGTGGTGGCCAAGGAGGAAGCCGGGGACTCAGAAAACTCCGGAGCAGAACACGCTCTTCGGGTTTTAGTCCAGAATCCACGAACCACGCCTGTTCTCCTCAGCAGCCGGGCACAGCTGCTTTTCAAAGCATTGTCCGGTTGGCGTAGCCCATGACATCCCACTCTGTCCCCTTGCTCGTCGGCCCCTGTGTCCCCGTGGCTTTGACCCTCCACCCACAGATGAGTCCAAGCTGGTGGAGATGCTACTCACTCCCCTGTGTGCTCTGCCCACCCACCCACTGCCCTGTCCTGTAATCAGTGTAGGGGTAATGGGCGCTGTTTATCTATACAGGCAAATGGAGCGTCCAAGCCGCGACTACCCTGCCAGTAGCTGGCTTCAGGACCATTTGTTTTACTATTTGTTTTTCCCAATGTCTATGTCATAGTAAGTTATTGGTGTCTATACCTACGAAGATAATACAGCTAACATGTAATCATATCACTATCATCCTGTATTAACATAATTTTACAGATAATCGTTTTTTATTATTGTTGTTATTGGGTTTGTATGATTTGGTTTTTGAGTAAGCAATTGCTCACGTGGTTAGAAATTTAAGATATGCCAGAAGGAATGTGGCATAAAAGATCCCTCCTCAACGTCTGTCCCTTTGCAGCCTCCTCAGAAGTCGTCACAGTTAAGTAAGGTCACATGTTTCCTATAAGATAGCAGTGTAAGCAAACATAACACATTGGTATACTTCTTTCATCTTTGTTGTGCAGCTATCTGCTTATACCCCCTTCCTGCTGCCTGCACCCCCTTCCTGCTGCCTGCACCCCCTTTCCTGCTGCCTGCACCCCCTTCCTGCTGCCTGCGCCCCCTTCCTGCTGCCTGTGCCCTTCCTGCTGCCTGCACCCCCCTTTCCTGCCTCCTAATTCTTTGTGCTCATTCCATCTCAGCATACAAAGACATGCCTTGATCTATTTATAGCTCCACGATTGAAAGACTATTAATTATGTTTTTAATCTCAGAGGCAACTTTCCCCCTCCTCCCCTGCCCGTCAGATGCAGTAGGTAGTGGCTTTGATCTAGCTTGTTGGCTGTGGATGCTGGTGTTGAGGCTCTGGACCTGAGCTGTAAGCCAGACACCCAGATCTCAGCAGCGTGGCTCCCTCCCTACATGCCACGTGCCCAACTGACTGCTGCCTCCCTCCGTGAGAAGGAAGCATCTGTACCATCTGTACCTAGAGTTTCCCACCGTGTACACGGTGCTTGCCCAAGGACTCTGATGGCTGAACAGTAACGGTCCATCCATAAGTGTTGTGGATAAGCAAGCAGATAGCAGACCGCCTCTTTGATGTGATCGCAGATGTATTTGCAGCAACTTCACCAAGGACCACTTAAGACGGAGTTCTCTTCCCAGCCTCCGCGTAGGGCTGCTCACAGCTGCAAGTCTGGCTCCGGAGGATCCAAGGCTCTCTTCTGGTCTCCACGGGCACCTCCACTCATGTGCGCATGCCCTTACACAAGTACGTTCGCTGACTGGCCAATAGCTGAACAGGGTAAGTTTGGGCTGGGAGAGCCAGACTGAGAATGCTGGGAAGGAGAAGGGTGGAGTCTGGAGTCGCCAGCAGAGGCGGAGAGAAGCAAGATGGACATGCCCGCACTGGGAAACGATGCCAAGGCAAAGCACAGACAAGAAATATGGATTAATGTGACTAGCAACAAGCCTAAGCTATTGGCCAAGAATTTGTAATTAATGATAAGTCTCCACATCGGTTATTTGGGAACTGGCAGGTGGGAAAGAAACGTCCACCAACAAGTCGTCATCCCTCACTTTGTTTCCCAGCTTCCACAAGGCAAAGCAACTTTCTCCCACCACGATGCATTGCCTTTCCATAGGCCCAAACACAAGAACACCCATCCGTGGACTGAAACTTCCAAAATGGAGCCAAAAGAAACTCTTAAAGTTAGGAAGGAAGGAAACGCCAGCTCACGCCTTCCGTCTAGATTTCCTCATATGTCCTGAGTCTTGGCGATCAGGGAGCCTGGGAGCCTCGCACGGGGCCACGCACCTCCCAAAACCACTCTGTCCCTATCTTGGTTCTCAGAGGGATTCCTGAGGTGAGATGAACTTGGAACCGTCTATGCTTCTGTGGCTCAACACATCTAAAACGGCACAGATTCCTTGATGGTGGGAGAAAAAGGAGGGTTGCTCTGGCTCTAGGATACTACAGTGATTTTCTTGATGGCTGCTCCTCTCTCACAGAATCCCCATGAGCTCCCCCAAATCCCAGGTCCTGATTTTAATAGCCACTGTAGAATCAGAATGGACTGTACACCTTTGCCCTCCTGTCTTGCTGTCCAAACCTGTTAAGCTGAGTATGTGGGCTGATACTAATGTGCGCTCTCAAAGTCACCAAGGAACATTGGAGCTGACTGGGCCAAAATCCCCAGCTGGGCAGGGCTTTTTGTTCACAGGGAGCACTGAAATGACATTTGAAGCTGAGTTAGAGATTCCATACCCCTTTCCTCTACCCCAAGAAAAACCCATCTGTAGGGGTCTTTAAGGTAGAAGCTCGCTTGACCATTTTGGCCCCACTCCAAGTCTTGAGAATTCTGAGGGACTCTTGGAGCACTCCTGGGGGTATTGGAGAGTTGTAAGTGTGGCTCTTCTTCGGTTTCTCCAGATTGCCCGGAAGGAACCGCCAACCTCTTCCGCTAAGAGACCCGAGCCCACCCTCCCCTTTCCTCCTTTCTTCTCCAACACCAACACCTTCCCTGTATTCATTGTCTGCACAGGCACAAGGTGTCGAGCTTCCTGTACCCCCCCCCGTTGCCTTTCTGCTCCTTTCCATCACCAACAGGGCTCCACCGCAGGCAGACTCCCTCCTTCCGGGCTCTAGGATTCAACCCTCTACCAAAATGGCTCTTGCAGAAGAACTAAAGACTCCGAGGTCCCAAAGACCAGGGCCATTTCCTGGGTCTCCTCTTTCTCCCCCTGTCTCCGGGCCCCTCCCTGAAATCTTCAAGGCTTGCCTCTTCCTCAGCTGTGGCCTCCAGACACACTCAGGGCTGTGGGTCCCCCACGGGAAGGGTCACCCAGGCTGCAGCCCTGTGCCTCTCCCATTATTCGATGCTTTTTCTACTTTCCCTGCTCACTCCACTCTTACTGGGCTCCCTGACTGTGCATGTGAGCTCCTGGCCGGAGGGCCTGCCTTCCCACACCTCAGCTCTCCTGACTAGAACCCACCTCTCACAGGAAACTCCAGAGCTTTGCTCTAGGAACGGAGGCAGCCCCTGGCTTTGGTCTCCGATGGCCACTCCTAATACAGGGAGACCTTTGTTCTCTCCCTCCCTATGCCAACACAGGGCTCCTCAGAAAGTTAATTCACCTCAGTTTCAGGTTGGCTGTGACCCTACTGTTGGGGAGGCCAAATTGTTCGGATTTGGTTAATTCCCAGCTCTCTGTCTTGTTATATCCCTGCTCAGTTCACAAGAGTAAATGGGCTTATCCTGACCCCTCATCAGAACCTGAGTCCTGTCTCCATGCTTAAATGGCTCCTACAGAGTTGGGAGGTGGTAGCGCACACCTTTAGTCCCAGCACTCGGGAGGCAGAGGCAGGCGGATCTCTGTGAGTTGGAGACCAGCCTGGTCTACAGAGCGAGTTCCAGGACAGCCTCCAAAACAATACAGAGAAACCCTGCCTTGAAAAACCAAAAGCAAACAAACAAAACACAAAAACAATAACAACAAAAATGGCTCCTACAGAAAGATCCGGTCGCCTCTCTTTCCTTGTCCTTACCCAGCTACTAAACAAACAAATCTCTGTGTTTTGTCTTTCTT